ATACATACATAAAAAAATCCATACATTCAATTAAAAATAAATTTAAAAAATCTTTGATAATGGTTAATAGAATAGAGAAAAGTGCCTGGATATGCAGAACATTTGGATAGTTTTCACACATATTATGTTCAGAAGAGAAAACACTTATATGAACACAAGAAAAATTAAATAAAAAGCTTAATCGCAGTACCTTGTCAGTTATCTTTAATGAAAATTCTGATAACCCCTGACGAGTGGATGGAGTGATTCCCAGAGTGTTCATCTCTGAAACTCTCGAGTTGAGATGCTGAAGGTAACATCAATCAGCTAAGTCACAAATATTTACATATATTAATTCTACATTATATATATATATATATATTGTGGCCAAGTGTTTCAGTATACAGGCCTTCTTCAGACTGTTTATTACATCAGATAATGCATGCTCTCCTAGAAACAGTAACTAAGGGCCACTCAGCATAATTGCACTATAAACTACAGGGGTGGGGGTGGGGGCTCTGTAGGTGTTGAATAAACACAAATGTGCCTGAGCATAGCATCTGCAACAGGGACTGTCTAGCCTCCCTAGTAAACAGTCATACTGAGATATGAGTGGCCAGCTATATATATTAGTTATCAATATATATATATATATATATATATATATATATATATATATATATATAAATTTCTAAGAGGATAGAATCCACGTAGAGCTCAATGTCCAGGACAGAGCAAGGGTTATAATTTATACCATTGGAATCATAATCATGATTCAATTCATCAGACCTACAAATTCAAAGTTTTTGAATTTGTAGATCTGATGGATTGGATTGTGATTTCAATGTAATAAATTATAACCATGGAATATTAGTGTTTGAGCCTTTTATATATATATATATATATATATATATATATATATATATATATACACACTATATTATAAAAAAATCTAATTTTTCTCACCTGTGGAATTTCCATGCCACCTGCAATCTTCAGAAATCTGAATACAATGTCAATTGCAGTATTCTGTCTTCCTGAAATCTGTTCTTTTATTGTCCTTTCTCCTTACTAAAATCTTCTCTTACTCTGTGACTCACTATAACCCTCTGTGTCCAAGTGGCATTATCCCCTTGCTTGGGGTGAAATGATTAAAAGCAAGAAATGCTATATTTAAGGGCAAAAAGTGCTCAATTCCAAAGGTGTATTGCAATCCCAAAAGATGCTTTCTGAAACCCAAGTAAAGTATTAAGTATCAAGAAAATTTAATTAGAAACAAAGAAAAGCATGCCAAACTAGTATGTAATATTGGTACTCGTATAAGTCCGTGAATGCTGGACAATCTCCTTATAGATGAAGAAACTTGAAGCAACAGAAATGTGGTCCTACAGAAGGATGATGAGAATATAATGAACTTAACATGTGACTAATGAGGAAGGATTAAGAAAAATAGAACCAAAATGATGCTTATGCTTTGAATTTGAAAGAAATTGTTTTAGAAAAATGACAAGGAAAGAGAGCTTGGAGAATTTGTCACTCACAGGACATTGAAGATGACATAGACAGAAAAAGTCAGTGAGTGACCTACCCAACAAGCTTGTGTAAATGGATGATAGCAGGATTGGGAGAGATAGCAAAAAAACAAATCTAAGAGGAAGTTGTGGAGAGTCATAGTCACTCATGTTCAGGCAAGAGAAGGACCAGAAAAGAAGAAGACTAGTGGTTCAAAGGTCAAATTGTGCTGAAAGCATGGGTTCTTATCTGATCACCAGAGTTAAGCAAAGTCAGTTTTGATCAGTATTAGGATGGGTGACTCTTTAAGAAGATCTAAGCAGCTTATCTTCTATTAGGCTAAGCAAAGATTAAGTTGTTTGTTCAGAAAAAAGTAAATGAAGCCATATTATTTCCATTTCACTAGAAATAATACCTCATAATTTCTTTTTTTTCTTTTTTTTTTTTTTTTTACTAAAGTTCACCAAATACAAGGCCCCCAAGAGCCACTCAAGGTAGAGGGTTACTTTGTGGAGTTGCATTAGCATAAGAAAAGGAAAGATAGACAGCTAATTCTAGGCTTGAAGAAGTCAAGATTTAATTAATGAATAAAATTTCAGGTTTCACGTGGATAGTGGAGACATTAGAAGTATAGAGTTGAATTAAAAGGGACCAGAAGACCTAATCCTAAACAGGAAACAAGGGATTAACCTCTACTCCTGTTCAAAAGACTGGGGAGGAGTGTGAACCGGACGATAGGTGAATGAAATGTTATTAGTTTATTTTTGGATATCTGGAATGGTACCAGTATGTCTTTTCCCCACTGAACTGTGAGAAATAGGTCCGAGAGATCAGCTGCCAGGCACTTTTAGCATGTCTATATTTTAAAGGTAGGGTATGTATGATTGGCTTGTTTATTTACAAGAGACTAACATATTGGTTTCAGTTTAATACAAGACCATGCCTATGAAATTAAAAGTTGGGAGATTGTAATAAGCCAATATAGGAGAATTATGTGAGGCACATTTTAAAATATATCTCATATGTCCTCATAATCAGGGTGCGATGGAAAAATTGTCGTCTATATTGTCATATATATATATATATATATATATATATATATATATATATATATATATTGATGCATGTTTCATTAAATAATATAGACAAGTTTTGTCTACTTATTTTAAGTAAATTCCTTTCATATTGTCTGATAAGCTTAATAACATTATCATTGAAAGATGAAAGAAAAACACCATATTGATATATGTAAGTCGAAAGCTTAGATACGATTAAAAAACATGTATCAATGTTCTTAGTTCTTTCTTTTTTATTTTTTTTTCCAATTTTCCTCGGACATCAATTTTTTATATTACAAGTTGAGCCAACCAAGGTTTTTCAAAACAAGCATTAATATATATATATATATATATATATATATATATATATATATATATATATATGTAAGCAAATGTAAATGGATATAAATCCGACAGAATGAAGAAAACTTTGGAAAAAACAAATGCAATTATGTTTTTTCATTCATTTTAAACAACATAATTGCATTTAAGGATTTTTGTTTGTTTTTTCCAAAGTTTTTCTTCATATATATATATATATGCATACATGTTGGTGTTATACTTATTATAAAAACCCAGGTTGTTTGTGTTTGTGTGTGTGTGCGTGCGTGCGTGCGTGCATGTTCGTTTATATATGGGATCGGATTTCCTACATTTTCAACCGATTTCAACAAAACTTCACTTTTTTGGCAGGTAGTTTTTTCTTATTGTCTTCCACACTTTTTTCTTTATTTTTACATTCAGAATGCTTTAAAAATTCCATTTACAAGGCAATTGTTTATAATAAATTTCTATTCAATCGGTAGACTCATAACGATTGAAAACAATGTTTTTGTTTGAGTTTGGGTTTGACCAATTCGTAAAAAAAAAAGGAAAAAAAAAAACACTAATTAAGACATGCATGTCCATCAACCTTAAACAATAATCTTTGTTAATTTTATTTTTCAGTCTTTATGATGATCGATACTCGATCTATCTCTTACTTTTACATCCCCGGGCAACGCCGGGCTCTACTGCTAGTAATATCATATATCTTTCAATATCTTATATTTTAAATCTTATATTTCTGACAATATCTTGTTAACTGATCTTATAATGTATCTTATAATAACTTATGATATATCTTAAATAATATCATATATTATATCTTCTACCTTGGAATATCTTTAAACTTACATTTTATAATATCTTGGATATAAAATCTTATATCTTATAATACATATCTTTTATATCTTATGATATATCTTCTGTCTTATGTCTCTAATCTTATGTCTGATGTTATAATATATCTTATGATATATTTTATAAGCTAATATCTTTTTTTTTATTTTTTTAAGTATTACGCCCCGAGCAAGGCGAGAAGCCACTAGGATGCAGGGGGTTGCAGAAGATTTGGAGTGAGAGCAGATAGGAGTGATAGAAGAAAGGATGAGGAGAAGGATAGTGGATAGATCAAGGTAACTGGAAATGTCGATTGACATTACATTTGAATAGTTGGAGATTATAGCTCTCAGGGAAACAGTAATAGGGAAGGGTGTTCCACAGGCGAGAGGTGCGAGATATGAAGCTATTGAAGTAGAAGAGACGGCTATATTTAAAAGTTTCTACAGTGAAAGGGTGGGAGCGGGATGGCGTAGGGCGCTTGAATTCATGGAGTCTGGGAACCAGTGAAAGCAGCTCATCAGAGCAATTACCATGAATGTATTTGTAAAAAAGACAGAGAGAGGCGACGACGCGTCTGTGAGAGAGTGACTGTAGACGAGATGCCAGATCAATCTAACTTTATTGTATAATTTTACATCTGATTTTGTAGTGTATCTTATAATATTTGTAAATAATTGAGACAGTTTTTCTTTAAATTTTAAGCGAAAAGAAAACAACCATACATTGTTAAAAATCCAAATTTAAATCTAATGAGGAGAAAAAAACATTAATTTTCGTGAACTTGAGCGACTGTCTCACTTTAGTTGGTATTTATCAGATAATAAAAAAAGAAAATTGCAATACGTGTATTTGTTCACACAGAAATATGCAAGTCTATTCTTCAAAAAACAAACGTCTTTCAATTTGGTTGTCTTAACTTTGGAGACGAGTAAGGAGAGACATCTGTAAGATAAGGCAGGGAAAAATTGAAGACTTTGCAGATGATAAAAACGACATTAAATGATGCAAATGATGATTTTAAAAAGCAGACAGGAGGCGAATGTCATTGTGTTTCCCAGCAGAACATGGCAAAAAACACAGAGAATGCTTTGAGGGTCTCGAAGTGTATGATAAGGCCCTCAGGGTGTAGCAAGTGCTTGAGAGAGACAAGGCCCTGAGGGTCTGGATGCTTAAAATAAAGAGAGTTGGGATTGGAAGATCCCTGGGGTGGAAGAAGATGAGGGAGAAGTAAGGTGGGGGTGTGGGGTTAAGTAAATTAGGAGAGAGAGAGAGCAGGGAAAAAAATGTTTAAAAATTTAAAAGAAAGTGACAGAGCAAGAAAGACTTGAGGAGAGGATTGTGAAAAGAGAGAGAGAGAAAGAGAGGGAGTTGCTGGAAGGTAGAAAGAGAGAGAGAATGTTGCTGGAAGGTAGATAGTAAAAGAGAGAGAGAGAGAGATTTGCAGGAAGAGAGGAGAGAGAGAGAGAGATTAGCAAGAAGAGAAGAGTGAAAGAGGTGCAGAAAGGGAGAGAGAGTTGAAGGAAGGGTGAGAGAGAGAGTTGCAGGAAGGAAGGGTGAGAGAGAGAGTTGCAGGAAGGAAGGGAGAGAGAGAGAGTTGCAGGAAGGAAGGTAGAGAGAGTGTTGAAGGAAGGGAGAGAGAGTGTTGAAGGAAGGGAGAGAGAGTGAGAGAAGGAGGAAGAAAGTTGAAGGAGAGAGAGAGAGAGAGTTGGAGGAAGAAAGGAAGGAAGAGAGAGAGAGAGAGTTGGAGGAAGAAAGGAAGGAAGAGAGAGAGAGAGAGTTGGAGGAAGAAAGGAAGGAAGAGAGAGAGAGAGTTGGAGGAAGAAAGGAAGGAAGAGAGAGAGAGAGAGTTGGAGGAAGAAAGGAAGGAAAGAGAGAGAGAGAGAGTTGGAGGAAGAAAGGAAGGAAGAGAGAGTTGGAGGAAGAAAGGAAGGAAGAGAGAGAGAGAGAGTTGGAGGAAGAAAGGAAGGAAGAGAGAGAGAGTTGGAGGAAGAAAGGAAGGAAGAGAGAGAGAGTTGGAGGAAGAAAGGAAGGAAGAGAGAGAGTTGGAGGAAGAAAGGAAGGAAGAGAGAGAGTTGGAGGAAGAAAGGAAGGAAGAGAGAGAGAGTTGGAGGAAGAAAGGAAGGAAGAGAGAGAGTTGGAGGAAGAAAGGAAGGAAGAGGAAGAAAGGAAGGAAGAGAGAGAGAGTTGGAGGAAGAAAGGAAGGAAGAGAGAGAGAGAGAGTTGCAAGGAGAGAGAGAGATTTGCAGGAAGGAAAGAAGAGAAATATTTGCAGGAATAGGAAGAGAGAGACAGTTGAAGGGAGAGAGAGAGAGTTACAGAAATGGAGAAAATGAGAAAGAGTTGCAGGAATAGAGAAAGGGGGAGAGTTGCTGGAAGGAAGAAAGTGAGAGAGTTGGAGGAAGAGAGAAAAAGAGTTGAAGGAAGCAGCATAGAGAAAGAAAGGAAGAAGTAGAAAGAAAAGTGAAAAAAGAAAGATGAAAGAAGGATTTAAAAGAAAAAGCAAAAAAGAGAAATACAAATGCAAAAAGCAAACCAATTTAAAAAATAGATAATTTCAGAGAAACAACATGTCTGCGATGGATGAAGCAGGCATTGATCACAAAAAAAAAAACTTGAAGAAAAGAATGGAAGAATATACAACAATAAGAAATTTCAAGATGGAGGCATAAGAGGGAGAGGGAGGTTTGTTTCTTTTTAAGGCAAATGCACAGGTAAGGCGATAATTAGGCGAAAACAAAAGGCAGTGAGGGAATTATTTTATAAGGAAGAAAATAAAAAATAGCTAAATCAGAAATGAATTCAGAATAAAATTAATGTTCATAATAGATACCTTTTTTCAAATTTAAATAAGCAAGTAATTCAAATTAGAAAAACATCTAATTTTAAAACATACTGTCAACATGGAAAATGCATGGATAAAAAAAAAACAAATCTTAATCTTTTTTTAAAAAATATATTACAAAGGCAACTTAATCAGATTTGTTCTATGTACTCAGTAGTTATCTATGTTTTTAATCACATCGCATTTGTGTATTTCAGGTATCCTTGTTGATGAAAGAGGTACTCTTAAATGAACACCTAACATTTCCAGACTGGTAGATTGAAATAAAGGGTCCAATTACCTGGCCACCTCATTCACCAGATATCAAACCTCTGGACTTCTTTCTATGGGGTTATGTTAAAGACATCATGTATCGAACAAGGATACAAAACATCACTGATCTAAAGCAAAAGATCACTGATGCCATTTCTACCATTGATGAGGCCATGCTACTTTGAACAGGGCAAGAAATCAAGTACCGTCTTTATGTGCTTTGTGCAACTAATGGTGCCCATATAGAAGTAGATAATTCATTAGTTAAAAAAAAATTCAATATCTACTCCTCATTTTGTAACAATTTCCACATATCTGTCGATTGCTTTTGTAAGAAATTTTTTTAAATTGTAAAGAGACATCCGATATATATATATATATATATATATATATATATATATATATACACAAAGAAATATAGTCATAAGATGTGGTATATTTATGGGATAAAGTGCTCAATATAAGAGATAGAGCGTATGTAAATATAAAAGTGAACATAGAAGTTAACACTTAGAGGCAGCAGTGTGTTTTATGCTATATGCAATTGTCAAGCCACGAGTGCTGTTATTTTTTCTTGGCTATTTATATATATATGGGTCAGTAGTGCATTGTGGGTAGTCTATTTTGGCGGTTATTTTACTGAAGTCGTTTATATATATATATATATATATATATATATATATATATATATATATATATATATAAAAATATCTATAAGAACACTGGATTATATATCTTACTGTTCTTTTTTTTTTTATTTATATATATATATATATATGTGAAGATGATGAAACAAAGTGGAAAATCTTTAGTCAAAGACATTTCTTTGCTGGAGAAAAGCTTATGTTGTCTTTGGCATCATCAGTTCAACTTAATGAAGAAAGCCAAAGCTATAGTGTTAGGAGAGTGTAATGGGATTTCTGAGGATAAGTTGGTTGTCATAAATCAAGTCAATTACTCAAGCTTATCACTTCCTGGCTTGAAGAGAGTCTGTATTTCTCTGTGCTTGTTTGTTTTATCTATATCTGTATTAGAGCCGTTTGGTATTTGTAGGATTTTAATTCAGGGACATTTTTGTATACACATATATACCTACAGACACATACAACAATACATACATACACACATGTGCATACATACATACATACACACACAATACGTATATACATTCATACATATATCTGCCTACATCTACCCAGGCATATACATGTATTAAAGCCCATTTTTATTTTTTGTATACATGTATATATGTACAAGCTTATTGATATAGCTGTATAAATATATTCATACATACCACTATTTATATACATGTAAACATCTATATCTGTAAAAGTACACCTTATATACATTTGTGCACATACATACACCCACAAATATATATATATATATATATATATATATATATATATATATATATATAAGAACACTGGATTATATATCTTACTGTTCTTTTTTATTTATATATATATATATATATATATATAAATAAATAAAAGTGGCTTTTTTTTTTTCAAATATATAGTTCGTGGGTGTGTTGTTTTTTTCTGATATTGTTGGTTGCATGGGAAAAAAAGATCAGAAGAAGGAAAAAAATGAAGAAAATGAAAAATAAAGAAAAATGAATAAAAACTGAAAAAAAAAAAAAAATGAGAAGAAAAAGGAATAAAAAAATTAATTTTGAAACATTTTTAGTTTCATTGATGCCTGGTTATATAGAAAGGTTGGCATAAATATATGAAAAAGCAATAAGCGTACACAAGATTAATTTAAGGCTTGTGTAAGACAAATGCTAACAGCCAATATTTCCTCCATTTTTTCTTTTTTTTTTTTTTTTGATAATTTCACTATTTTTGTGAGACGATAATTATGGCAGAAAAATCTCCACAAATCTTAAACAAATGCTCTGCCACTTTTGGAAATAATTAGTGTTATTTTTGTAACAGTTATTTGAATCTCTGTCAAATACTGTTAAATTTAAAATATGCTTTAATCAAACAGTCTACATCAGACAGTTAATATTTTTGTCTGCTTGTATCAATCAATTTAGCCATATTAATCTGTCCATCTATTTTGATATTTATCCTTCTTTGTTTTTGTTTCTTCTAGCTTGTTCCTGTCTACATAACTATCTTAGTTCACATCTACCTAAGTCAGTTTCAATCTATATGTCTGTTAGTATCTAGCTATCCCTGTTTCAATCTATATGTCTGTTAGTATCTAGCTATCCCTGTTTCAATCTCAGCCAGTTCATAGCTATCCATCTCAGCCAGTTCATAGCTATCCATCTCAGCCAGTTCATAGCTCTCTATGTCTTCATAGTTCTCTACGTCTGTTCATAGCTCTCTATCTAAGTCTGTTCATATCTATCTATCTATCTAAGCCTGTTCATATCTATCTATCTATCTAAGCCTGTTCATATCTATCTATCTATCTAAGCCTGTTCATATCTATCTATCTATCTATCTATCTATCTAAGCCTGTTCATATCTATCTATCTATCTATCTAAGCCTGTTCATATCTATCTATCTATCTAAGTCTGTTCATATCTATCTATCTATCTAAGTCTGTTCATATCTATCTATCTATCTAAGCCTGTTCATATCTATCTATCTAAGCCTGTTCATATCTATCTATCTATCTAAGCCTGTTCATATCTATCTATCTATCTAAGTCTGTTCATATCTATCTATCTATCTAAGCCTGTTCATATCTATCTATCTATCTAAGCCTGTTCATATCTATCTATCTATCTATCTAAGTCTGTTCATATCTATCTATCTATCTAAGTCTGTTCATATCTATCTATCTATCTAAGCCTGTTCATATCTATCTATCTATCTAAGTCTGTTCATATCTATCTATCTAAGTCTGTTCATATCTATCTATCTATCTAAGTCTGTTCATATCTATCTATCTAAGTCTGTTCATATCTATCTATCTAAGTCTGTTCATATCTATCTATCTATCTAAGTCTGTTCATATCTATCTATCTATCTAAGTCATTCATCTAAGTCTGTTCAGTCATTCATCTATCTATCTAAGTCTGTTCATATCTATCTATCTATCTAAGTCTGTTCATATATCTATCTATCTAAGTCTGTTCACATCTATAAGTCTGTTCATATCTATCTATCTATCTAAGTCTGTATCTATCTATATCTATCTAAGTCTGTTCATATCTATCTATCTATCTATCTAAGTCTGTTCATATCTATCTATCTAAGTCTGTTCATATCTATCTATCTATCTAAGTCTGTTCATATCTATCTATCTATCTAAGTCTGTTCATATCTATCTATCTATCTAAGTCTGTTCATATCTATCTATCTATCTAAGTCTGTTCATATCTATCTATCTAAGTCTGTTAAGTCTGTCTATAAGTTCATCTATCTATCTATCTAAGTCTGTTCATATCTATCTATCTATCTATCTATCTAAGTCTGTTCATATCTATCTAAGTCTGTTCATATCTATCTAAGTCTGTTCATATCTATCTATCTATCTATCTAAGTCTGTTCATATCTATCTAAGTCTGTTCATATCTATCTATCTATCTATCTAAGTCTGTTCATATCTATCTATCTAAGTCTGTTCATATCTATCTATCTATCTATCTAAGTCTGTTCATATCTATCTATCTAAGTCTGTTCATATCTATCTATCTAAGTCTGTTCATATCTATCTATCTATCTAAGTCTGTTCATATCTATCTATCTATCTAAGTCTGTTCATATCTATCTATCTATCTAAGTCTGTTCATATCTATCTATCTATCTAAGTCTGTTCATATCTATCTATCTATCTAAGTCTGTTCATATCTATCTATCTAAGTCTGTTCATATCTGTTGATTGATAGCTATTATCTCACATTATATGTTCATATATGTATACACACAGAGATTCATATGTAAGTATATATTTATTATCTCATGCAGAGTGATATGATAATAGTAGTATTAGCCATTTCCCTATAAGGAAACATTTGGATTTCACTGATCAAGGAGCCAGTTTCACTGGTGGCTAAAATCTTAACACAATTTTTCAGGAAAATTGATTTCTCACATCCTAGATAGCTGTTAGTGTTCTTTCTAGTATTGATGGGGGAGGGGGTCCTTCCTTTTGTTTGCTGTAGCATGACTCTAGGTAGGTAAAAGTAAGATAAGTAGAGAATTATATCAACTGTGTACCTCATGTTGCTGGAAATGAACAAAGTTGATTTCTATATAGGAATTCATTCATTTTCTCTTCACCACCTCTCTAGTTTAAATCAAACTATTTGCCCCTGTGTAAGCTCCAGAGTCTTTCTTTTCTCATGATATTATAAACAGTACAAAAAGCAAAGCTAGAAAATGATTTAATCTCTTACCTCCGGGGGTGGTTGACCGTCTGGGGGTAAACATTGCAATTGTACGGTTGATTCGATTTTTACAAATTTACTAATAGGTTCTCGGTTAAATCTCCGTTTCAGATCTGAAAAAAATTTTTTAAAATCAAGTTGAATAATTTCTCAAAAAACAGTTATATTTTTATGACATGTTTACTGTCAGTTCTCTGTTATCGTATTTTATAACATTTTCAAAAAAGGAAATAAAAAGAAAAAAATTTCTTTACCATTTTGGACTAAGACAATTTATAAATACAAGAGAAACCATAAGAGTAATTGTAACAAGCTTCTTCAACCTGGTCAGTAATCATAGAACAATAAACCTCTAAGGTTTTAATCTCATTCTCTACTATTTGGCTATTCTATAGAATGTTTATCAATTTCAAATTTAACTGATATAGCACCTTTAAACCATGATACTTACTCATAGATATTTAGTTTAGCCTAGTCTGGCACAGGACCACAACAATGAGGCATCTGATGAGAGCAAATTTACTGCAGCAGCAATGACTTGTGAAATTAGTTCATTAAACATTTCTTTATTGCAGCTGCTTGCAAGAGTTCTTTCTTCAGAGAGGCTTCATTTTAAAATGCCGGCTTTGATATAGTGTAACAGCTAGCAAGCTTGTCTTGTTAGATCAATTACAGCTGAGTAGTTAGTTTGATCCTTACTAGGTGCTCTATACTTTCGGCCTTGTGCCACATCTAAGGTTTGCTTAGAAATCCCATACTTAACTTTCACTAGCTAGGGTACTTTGAAATTAATATTAGCTCAATCACTAGGGGGCCACACTCTACCCAGGCAGTACCTCTCTTTTGGGAGGGAGCTGGAGTCATTAGCTCCAAAATTATTTTCTAAATATTTTGATGTTTCATTCTGACAAAAATGTGTCGTTAGCATAATGGATGGTGATTAAGAATGAAAAATCAGAGAATGGAGTTTGTTTTTCAGATGGGTTCATTGCAATCAGTTATGTGTAAATACCCTTGGGAAAGATATGAATTAATCTCTTTCCCCAGCTATGGGTTAAATAGTAGAACCTTTATCTGGACTAATCATTGTTAATATAAAAAAAAAAAAACCCCAAAAAACTGTTAATGCAATATTCACTTGTAATAAAAGGAATTATTCTTGCAATCCAAAAATATGTTTGTCCTGGGTATGATGATTAACTACATCAGGCAGCATTGCCTCTGATCAGGAGATTGGAAGTTTTGAGGAGTGTGGGACCACCTCTTGTTACCCTGGGTGGTAGCACCTGTTAGTATCCCAGCTATGGGTAAATAGTGAACACCCAAACAAAAATCAATACATTTTTATAATAAAATGAGAAACAATACATTTTCATAATAAAATTATCAATAATACATATGATCTACAAACTGTATATCTGAAATATAACAAATACCATTACTCAAAGTATAAAATTATGTACAAAATATATCCAGTTGAAACCATAAGAAGGCATTCAAAATATTTAGATTTTGGCATTAAATAATCCATAGAAGTTGATATCTCATTAAACAAATAAATAATGTGTTTCAGAATTTCATAAACAACAAAGAGTTGATAAGCCATAAAACAAAATCAAATTGACCAATATTATAACAATATATATATATATATATATATATATATATATATATATATATATATATATATATATATATATATTAATTACATTTAAAATTGTTTAGGTAATAATTTCTATTTCATGAGAGCTCAAAAAAAAATAATCTCAATCTTCAAGACCTGAGATTGAGGAATCTATATCCTCCTAGAAATTCCATACGGATTACCATATTGTACTATTACAATATATATATTATTCGAAGATCTTAGTAAGATCTAAAAGGTCAGCCAATCTAACAGTGATCTCATCTCACAATCGTCACTCTTGCTCCATATGTGGCCACCTTTATAAATCACTAGTGGGTCTTAACTGCCACTTAAGATTATCACACAAAATTTCATAACTGAATCAATTAAGCTGTCAGATCCTCATACGTCAAAACCGACGGGAGAGTCCATTATTATATTCAAAGAAAAAAAAAAAAAAAATATATATATATATATATATATATATATATATATATACACATAGATTTCACAGAAAAAAGAAATAGGTTGACTAGTATATTTCTTGGAAATAACGCTTTCAAGACAAGCAGTCTGTGTAATTAGAGTGCTCAATATCATGAGACAGCATTAATAACTACAATTAAATTGAATATTTAATATTTATTTGTTGATACATTTATATATACTTGTTTAAAATTAGCCTTCACTTGGTGTCAAGTGACTTCTTTTATCTGTATAGTTATTTCTGAATGTTTAGTTATTATTTTTTATTACTGAGGAAATGTCTTGTCACTGGTATGCCACATTGACTGACAAAAGGATTCTTTTTTGCTTCTTATTTTACTATCAAGAAAACTTAACAGAATGATACTGTAATTAGAAGTTAATAATTCTGAAGTTATCTCCCTTGGAAGGAGATTTTATTTTATTTTTTTTTCTGTCAAATTATACCTAACTAGTTTTAACCTGTGAAAATCTCATTGTTTTTGTATTTGAAATTTCTGATGAATCTTAATTCTTCAGTTAATGATTGAATAAGCTCATGGTGAGTTCTACGACAATAAAATAACTGTAGAAATATTATTAAACAATTATTATTAACTTTAACAAAATATTGCAATAACAATCATAAATATGAATGCTGATCATTATTTTAAGAAGTAAGGGGGTATAAATGAAAAGATTTGAAATTGACAGCTTTTTCCATTTCATTGAAACATGTGAAATACTTCTATCTTCCCTTTTCTTTCATTTCTAGTGACTTAAACCAAATTATTTAAATTTAGTCTTCACTTGATGTTAACTTTTTTTTTTGCACTGAAACCAAGTAGCACCTATTATATGTCTATTTGTCACTTCACATGATCAAAATGGAATAGTCCAGTATTTATGGGGTATTAGTAGGAGATGTTAAACACTTATCTTTTTTTCTTTCTTTTTTGCACTGAAACCAAGTAGCACCTATGATATGTCTTTTTGTCGCTCCATATGATCAAAATGGAATAGTCCATTATTTATGAGGCATTGGCAGGGTGTAATGGACGCGCAAACTAACAAAGGGAGAAATTACTTTATTCTTCATGTTCCCACATTCTGGATATATTATGCTAACAAAAACAGTCCTATGATACACCCACTTCTGTGTTATAGTAATAAATACATAAGCTGATAGAAATCAAATCATATAATGTAGACCTCAAGCTAGAATTAATATTTCATGTACCTCTGAGTTTATTTTTAAAGTTAGAGATTGTCAAACACTAGTAAAGTCTAATCTGCAGACATTTACAGTGTATGATTGATAAGAATTGGGACGGCAAATGGTACCGACTAATGAGCTGATGGCAATGACCTACTTTATGAGACAGAGTGCCGACCTAATGTTGGCAATGGCTTATCCCTGAATATTCACCTGTAAAGTATTTAAGACCAATCAAGATAATCCAGATTAGATTATCCAGTAATAAGCATGAAAAGAGATAATCCACTTGCAAAGTTTTTTTTTTCTCTCTTTTTTTCTTTTTTTTAAAAATCATTTCCCCCTCAAACAAGGCAATAAAACCACTGAGCCATATGATGTTACTCAGGTTGAAAGAAACTGAGAAAAGGCATAGGATTCAAAGAGACAGAAGATGACGATTGATGTATTTAAATTTTTGAGGATTATTGAGAGGAAAGCAAGAAGAGATTCCCATAAGCAATTTCAATGGCAAAATGATGAGACCTAACTACCAATTTAGCACTGCACTTAAATTCATGATATATTCAATATATTGTTGGTCATTTTATTATAAAAATGTACTGTTGATTTTTGTTTGGGTGGGGTCACTATTTGTCTATAGCTGGGACCCTAACAGGTGCTACCACCCCTGATCAGGGTAGATCTAGGAACAACAGCAGTTATGGTGGTTCTATGGTACTCAAATTTCCCTGATCAGAGGTCTTGCTTCTGGGTGTAGTTTATTGTCAGACCTAGGATGAAATTTGTGTAACTTCAGAAATTTTATCTCTGGTATGATGACAAACTACATCTGGCAGCAGCAATAACATTGCAGAAAAAAAGTAAATAAAAAATGGGAATGGAGAGTTAAAATATACAAGTGCACTCTACACATTTTGACATCTTTGAAAAAAAGGTTACATCTAGCAATTTTAAGAGTAAAATGATGAGCCCTAACTACCAATTTAGTACTGTGTTTAAACTCATTTAGTACTGTGTTTAAACTCATTTAAACTCAGACGTGAAATCTCATCAGAAGAATTGTCATGAAAATATTTATAGAAAAAGCTTCCGAGAATCTACATTATGGCTGAGATGCCAGGTCAGCACCAATAACATA